ACAGTATCGGCTCCGGGTAGTTACCCCTTACAGTAGGTTAAGTGGTCGTATTGCGTCCCATTACGATAGCGAATTGTGATATCTAGTTAATCACATATTACCTATGTCAGTTATATAAAATTATAAATGTATTGATCAATTGAAACAAGGAAAAATTACCAGAGCGGAGTGCGTAAAAAAGTTTCACTCAGGTTCAAACCACAATTTTTTTCTCGCCAACACTATTTTTTAAGTCAAAATTATTTTTTAAAAGTCAACACCATTTATTCAAGTCAAAACTATTTATTAAAAGTCAACACTATTTTTTTTAATTCAATACAATAATTCTTCCCATAAATGTATTGAACATCATTCTCCAATTAAACTGGAGATTGACGTAATTTACCGGGCAATGACGACATTTACCACGTTTACATCATTCACCGTAACATAATATATTATTTGGAGACAACGCCTTAAAAAAATCCTAGATACGCCACTGATGACTGATCCAAGGCTTAAAATTTAAAATGTGCCGAAAATAAGACTGTGAGATATAGTTGGTTATATATATATATTTTTTTTTGCATTATTAAAAAAAAATGTATTGTACTAATTTTTGATTTCAAAGAATGTTTGATGTGGTTTTGTGGTCCCACAATACTAAAATTGATAAAATGTTAACACAAACATTGTGAAGAAGGGCACCCATAAAATAAATTTCTATTAAGCTAGCTATATTATATATTTTGAGTATGTAGGGAGAAAAAATGTGTATGTTAGGTTCGGTTAGGTTCCTATTTTATTATAAAGGTGTTTTATACTCATTTATTTATTTACCAAGTGTAAATACCACTGTACACTGGTATCCAAAATATAAAAAAATACATTAAAAGTACTTACACATAGTTTGTCAAAAATAGTAACAATATTGTGATATTTTCATACTAATATAAGTAACATATTAAATAAATTATACAAATATTCTACAGTTTTTGTCCCCTCCCAAAAAAAAAAAATTAAATTTTTTTATGTAATGATTTGAATGGCCTGCAAACATTTTGGCATCAACAAAAAAAAAGTTGAAATGACGCCCTTGAACTCTAATTCAATAATAGGATTATAGGAAAAAAATAAAATAATAATATTCCCGACCAATATTATTAATTTACAAGCCATGCGCGGTGACGATAGGAACGATAACTGGTTATGATACAGTTCTGCCGTTGCCACGATTGCCGTTGGTAGATTATAATATAATCGGTGGACTGTGGTATGGTATCGGAGACTGTCGACGGGTGCAGCTTTAAGGCTTCACCGTGATTAATTTTTTTTTACCGAAAAACTTGGTTTCGTATTACTATTTTTTTTTTACCAATAATCCAGCTTACTGGAGGGGTTTTATAGTAAAACCACGTAATTTATTATTAAAATAAAAATTTTAGGGGACAATTTTATTTAGAATCAAATTTTAGAGTCCAATTTTTGATATTCTATTTTGATTGCTCAATATTTCATGATAAATTGTATGTTTTCTATTTTATTCGTTATAATTTACCAACTAATAATTAATACAATTTTAATATTAGGGCTTATACTATTCTATATAAAATATTCAATATTGTTCTCTACAATTTTTATTATAGGTGTTTTTATTGTAAATCCCTTCATTAAGCCGTATTATTGGAAGTAGGTACCAGCTACTAAACCATGTAAGGTCCCTAAGACTTTTTTTTTTTAACTCAGTGGATACATACATTTTACTACAATTTAAGAATTATGTCAGTAGGGGCTAAATATTAATGATAAGTGAATATAAAAGTATGGCGCCCTAGGTAGGTACACACATTTTGGCGCCCCCTTTTTTCTTAAAGTTTCCTTTCACTCATAGACGCTAAAAAAGTGTTTAGCCCCCCAAAAAAGCTTTTGAGCCACCTCTAATTACAATTTTACTTTTTGCCATTAAAAATAAAACCCCATTATATATATTTTTTTCCACTTATTAGTTATTTCATTTATGCTTCCACATAAAAGAACACTTTAATTTTACCACTGTTCCCTCTAATTATTCCTAACAAAAAAAGGTCAATCCAACACAATTATTTATAAAGCAGTTTTACATAAATTTGTCAGTAAAATAATAAATTATTGATGTTTTTAAAATATAATTAACACTATATAATAATTATTTTTTTGCTTGAAAACAATTTAACCCCCAGTGACGGCAAACCTTTAAGGGACTGAGAATTTGTCACCCGAGGTTATCTCTCCCCGCCCTCTACCCCTAAATACGCCTCTGACTACTGGCCTTTACTCATGTCCAAATGTTCTATTTATAAATATATAGGTAGGTAGGTAGGTAAAAGCCGTAATGGTAAATGGTTAGGCTATTGATAGTAGCTGTACACAAACACAATATGTTAGTTAGAATAGTTCTTCATTATATTATTTCAATATAGCCTATAGGTTAGTATAGTTTAGTAAATAGTAAATAATACCATACTAATAAATATAATATAGAACTGCAGAGTGTTATTCGGTGTTTACTAAGTCTCAAGTCATTAAGAGAACCAACATTTTGATATAATATTGATTATTGACTATTAATGTTCATTGTTATTTGTTCTATTGGTTACAATAAATTGATGTACTTAAAATAAGTATATCATACATTTATAAATTATAACTATTAACTTCTACTGTAGTAACTATACTCTATAGTGTCTAGTAGGGATCGACGTACCGAAATATTAATATATTATCATAGCTTATGACTTATGAGATAAAATTCGTATGCAAGGCTTTGGGAGCAGAAATTGGGAGAAATTCAACGAAATCAAGAATATTTGCAAATTTTTTTGTATTTAAAAGTTTGTAAAATGTCTAAGGATTGCAAATTTAAAACAAAGTTCTTAAAAGTATTATATTATGCTATCTCTCACCAAAAAAGTTAAAAATATGTTAACAGTTTCTTTTTAAATTCATATTTTAAGTTCAAATTTTGATAAAATTAGATATTTTAACAAAGAATAATAATTTTAGATATTTTGTTGGAATTTAAAAAAAATTAATTGTGGGTATCTACTTGAAACTTTTCAAGTATAATAATATATTATTACTAGCTGCACTTCGTTACCCGTTAAATGTACCAAGTACCAACTATATATGACTGAAACTTTGTTCAATTCATTATTTAATATTCAGTGTATGGTGTTCAAAATTTATCTTAACTTTTCCGTTGCCCGGAATAAAAATTCTGATTCGCAGCAGTATATTATCAGGTAGGCAATCTTATATTTGGTATACTCGTCCAATATGCTATCTACCGTAAATATTTTATCTACCGTAATTTTATGATAGTTTAGTATGATATCTACCGTATGACCGTATGCTATATATTATATTATTATGTATACTTTATCATTTTGCAATTAAGATTTAAGATTAAGCTTTTATTGAAACCCCAAATTATATTATATTTATAACTTAGTAAGTTAGGTAGGTTAGTAGGTATATCTTTATATTATACCTGTTTAGTGTGTGTTTGTGAGTCGTGTCGATTATACCTTAACGTGGTTTTACTGTGATTTATTTATTATTTTGAGTTTGTCAACTATGAGTTATTTATATCGACACATAATTCAAAATGAAGAGATGTGCGAACATTTTTTAAGCATACGCGGTTTATTACGAAAATGTCGAAAATGGTCGAAAACGTGATTCGGAAGGTAATATTTTGAAAACAATTTATAATCGATGTACAAAAAAAGGGTGCCAAACATTTTATTCCATACGCAAAGTAAAGGTAGATAGCAATATAGCATACTAAACCATCGAACGTGCGGTAGATAGCATATTGGACGAGTACCTACCTTATATTTAAATATTTTGTTGGAATTTAAAAAAATTAATTGTGGGTACCTACTTGGAACTTTTGAAGTATAATAATATATTATTATATATTTTACTCACAACGACATTTTCAAATGCAATTTTTTTGACAAAAAATAATATTTCAACTAACAGTATTACTACTTTAATAGTAACAATACATATAAAATATACTTAGTAATACAGGATTGTACAGACTTTGCTCAGAAATCAGAATAGTTTGTCGTATACACTATACAATGATTTTATATCAATGAATTCAAATCTAACACATCCATTAGGTACACTATTACAGTGACCCACTCGACACCTATAATTGTAACGTAGAGCGGTACCCACCCACTTGCCCACATTTTTATTATTGATTTTATATTTTATCACGCATATTAAATTCAATACATTTATGTACAATGTATGTACATTGTAAATAGCGACTAGACAAGAAGCTCGGTGGTATGCGGAGTTAGACTCGTGTACATATTACATAATGTTGTTATTGTTAATCGTTTTTTTTTTTTTTAATAACAAGTGATAGTAAACAGTTTTTGTCGTAAACACCATCGTCGCAATGAATACTAACATATAATAATATATTAATATAATACATTATAAATAACTATTATTTAATACTTATATTATAAAAAATATAATATTATTTCAAATTATTACGACGGCACTACGGCAGCATTGTTATCAATTTATCATTATCATCGAATTCGCCGCCGACGGATCGTCATCGGTAGAATCACGTCATTATGCGCGCGCGCGACAACAACAACAACACTGGTGCGAGTCCGCGACCGCACCGAGCGGCGATCACCGATGTCCAAATGTCCAAGTAGTTCAACCTCTAGCACGGTGAACATTATTACACTGAACTAATGAAGTCTGAAACTCTGAACACTGAACGCTGTCAGTCCGCAGTCGTAGTTCGTAGACGGTAGGTAAACCGTGGTACCGTACTGTCCGTACTATAGTACGAACTACACGGTTAATCGTTAACCGTTCGTCGCCCGCGCACCTTTGAGCTCATACCACGGTCCACCCCTCCCGCTCTCCCACCGACGTTCACAGTCAGTGCTGTCTACGCAATCTACGGGCAAGATTTCGTCAGCTGTTATCGTTACTCGTTAGCGAAATCCGCGGTTTCCGGCGCCGTATCCACCGCGAGCATCGACCGCTCGCGTTCTCACCGTTTTCCCACCGTGTCGGTTGTTCTTTCGTCGCGAAAACGGAGGTCCCAAACAACAACGATGACGGCCACGGCGGGACGGCGGCGCGACAAACTGCCAACGGAACAACGGCACCGCTCGCGGACGACGGCCCCGTGCAGCCGCCGGACGCGACTGAAACACAACGAGACCCTTCGGCGGAGGCGGTAAGCACACGTACAAATGTATAATAATATGGTTGAAGAGTCCGCGGTATGGTTGTCTTCGAGATCCGGACGGGTTCGATCGAAACCATGTTTTTCTGTCGTCGATCTCCCTCCGAATCTTTAAACTGCCGACGGTTTTCCAAGCAGTGAATTTCGTTTCGATGCCGCATGGACGCATCGTTGGCCGAACCGTGTGCGCAAATGTAGTCTGTAACGAGTAAAATAGGGATAAGAAATCTGTTTAATTGTTTAATATCATTGATTTATAAATAGCGGATTAACTGAATACTGAGTAGGAAGTACCTGCTAAATACGGTTGCCTAATAAAATGTGACATCACGGACATTTTTCATTTCCGTCTACCTAATGACCGTAAAGCTACTGTTTTTAAAAAAAAAGTTGTAGACTGAATGCGCTTGTCAGCATGGACACCTGACACTGTGAGGGCCGTTCTTACGACGTCCGGTTAAAGTTAACCGACACTTAACCGGAAGAATTCTGCCGGTAATAAAATCTGTTATCAGTCGGTTAGCGTTAACCGACACTTTACCGGACATTGTAAGAACGGCCCTGAGTTGAATGTTGCCGGCAACAATTTTCCACATCTAGTATTTTCTTCCATACTTATTGTATTCCCTCTCGGTTGGATAAGCTGTGGGTTTGTTGATTCGTCTTCGTTATGGTAACAGTTATATTATTTAAGTATAGAAACACAAGGGTTTTATTAGGTATTAATTAAATAGATTTGACATAACTGAATGCTTTTATTAATTGCGACTTCACATGAGTCTGGTGCTTAGAATGAAATACGACTGCCGGCGATTCTCATTCGGTATTTTGCCATTGTTTCAACGGACATCGCGTTAAAATGCTTATTATGCTTATATAAGCATAATATATTATAACCCAGTAACACTATTATATCATGCAACACCTAAACTACCATTAACGTGCATATAATATTAATATTCGGTGATACCTAATGGGTAATACTGTTGTTTAAAATAAGTCTAAATTTAGTCTTAAAACTTAATTTCTGTAGACGGGTAGATAGTCTTTAAGAGTATATATTTTCTTGTACTGGCACAGTATAAAACTATAACCACAATCAGCAAATTAATTGTGATTTGTAAACATCCTATTTTGAAATTTCTAGTGAACACATTATGGAGGTACACTAATTGTTTTAACCAATTAAACCTTTTTTTTTTACATTTTTAGGCAGAAATTGAAATGGATCATGTAATATCAAACGCCAATACAGTTTATGGGTTGGACCATGTGACAAATATCATGAAATTTCATAGCACATACCTCGAGACTTTTCTGAGTCTTCAAGAATTTATAATTTATGGAGAAGGTCCATTGCCTATTCAATATCGGCACTATATCGCAATTATGGTAAATATACTACGGTTACTTTTTGTATTAAGACCAATAAAAGTAGTCCCAAATCTCAATAACATACCTATCTAAATTTAAAAATAATTCTCAATTGATAATATTTTGCAATTGTTTGCAATCATGTGCAATATTTACAGTTTATTTATTATGAAATTAATATTCTTTTACGTTTATTGTATTTTAACAAATCTTTTTTTTTTTAGGCAGCTGGTCGACACAAGTGCACTTATATAATAAATTTTCATAAAAAACAATTTTTGGAACATAATGGTGACCCTAGTTGGTTGATTGGTCTCACACATGTGCCTCGTAAACTTCGTAATTTATATGAAATCAACAAGATTTTAGCACATCGACCTTGGCTAGTAACAAAAGAAGATATCAAAGTATGTATCTATTCAAGTTAAAATATACAAATTAGATGTCATGTATTATTCTTTATTTTATATGAATAATTTAGTATTTGTTTTTATTGCTTCGGTTGATGAAAAAAGTTCACTTTAAATTACCTATGTATTATTTTTAATTCCTAAAAAAATATACCTTCCGATTGAGACAAATATGTTGATGTGATGAAATGTATAATTTGTTTTTTTATAATACTATGTAGAGTTAATGTAATCAACAACAATTGAATGTATGATTCTACTACATACAACTTATCTGCAAAATTATGACTTATCTTTAGGTGGTTATATAAACATACATTTTAAAATGTATCAGCATATTTTTAACATGAAAAACAAATATCAATTTATGTTTAATATCTATATCAAGTGTGTACAATAATAATTATAGTCTGTTCAATATGTATTGAAGTGGTTGAAACTTGAAGGGTACCTGCGTCCAATGATTAGCAATGGGTTAACATACATTTCTTTGTTATCAAAAATTAGTTTAAAATATTTATACTGTTTTCATTATATTTTAGTTAAATTTCAATAAAAGTTCTATATACTGTTCCACGAGAGAAGGAACTCGTTTCGCTGTGTAACTGACGGCGTTTAATGACCTCGGTCACTATTTCCCCTGATCAAACATAGTTTTTAGTTGTAGTGCTATAGAACACTGCCGTCTGGAACGTATAAGTGAAGGAAATATTGTCCTAGTTACATCGCGAAATGGATTATAGTACTGTCCAATGTCCACATTATGCAATGTGTACCTATATTAAAACTTGACCATTAAAAGTTTCTTTTATTGCCACAACCAATTAATTGTACCTACCAACAAGTATAGTTAATTATGAAATAATATTAAAAGTAAAATAAAATGAAAATTCTATTCTGAAATAATTAATTTTTCTAAAATTGGTTTGTACATGGTTGTTTATAAGACATCAGTCAGGTGGCAATGATGTTATCTTATAACTAGAAATACAAATTACTATAGTTTTAAGTAAATTGTGGTTTTCAATACCCAAAATCTTGTTTGATGTCACGTAGTTAAAGTTATTAGTTAATATCAAAATATGAAGAATGTTTGAATAGGTGACCACTGCCTTGTATATTATACTTTTAAATAATAATATTTATATTATTAAAGATAATTCTTAAATGATAATAATTTAAGTAAAAAATCATTTTTGTTCTATTGATGTTTTGTTATTACTGTCTTAATGTTTAAAATATAAATTTTGTATGTTAGTATCTTTTTTCACTCAAAAAAAATATGCTGATAATAAATTAAATGTTGAAAAGTTTTTATCCTAGTTAATACATCTCAATTTTATAATATTTTGTACCAATAAAAAAACAACTAAAATATTCTTTGTTTAATAATATCTATAGCACTAAAATTATAATTTAATAGTAACATTGTATACGGTAATGGAGAGTCAATATTTATATAGTGATTATCATTTGTACAAAGAGTAATTATGATCTATTAATTTATCCCTTTAGGTCAATAACATAATTATTTCATATATTATGCAGTTTAATCTATTATTATCGAGATTATTATGATAAAGCTTATTACTTATTTACACTATTTAAAGTATCTAATATGTAATATATGTAATAAAATATGTAGGTATTTATTTTTTTGAATTATTATTAATACAACATTGAATATTTAAAATTTATCCTAATCCAACGTATTAGGTATGCATTTTAATGTAAATGAAATAATTGAATCCTCATTTTGTTTGTTACAAGTTTATATATTATTATTTATTATATAAATATATGGTACTTTCTTGTTATCCGAGACTACGGCTATTATTGCGACTACCACCCAAGAGCTGAACGATATCCATAAGTTGTGATTATATTGATTATATTTGTGGATTTACCATTTTGTATTATTATTATTATTTTATTCCTTTATTGTTTTCCGTACTCCGAGGCAAATTTGGCACTTTGTTGTGTAACATGTAAAATACATTACGAAGAATTACTATGTATTTAAATTTTTTCTTTATTTCATTCTGGCCATCCCCACAATACATATTATTAAAAAATATATCAAAGAAGGCAAGAAAAATTAGGTAGTCTCGTTTAACAGGAAGTACCATTTTGGTAGTCTTAGATAACAGAATTGTGATGTTTCACAAAGTAAGCGAGGTAGTCGCGATAACGGAGGTAGTCTTGAGTGGTAGTCGCATTAACAGCCGTAGTCTCGTATAATAGGAAAGTAGCAAATATATTAATAATATTATGCCACTTCAATGACAAATTATTACTTAATTATAATTAAATCATTAAACTATTATTTTTATATTTGTAATAACTAACTGAAAGTAATGCTGTCTTTAGCATGCAAGATAACTAAAATTATTTTATTTTCATTTTTAATAGAAAGTCGTCAAAGGTCCAAACTCGTGGTCAATGTCAGATTTAGGACATGCCATCATACTACTTGTTCATTTTCATAGTTTGTGTAGTTTTGTGTATGCTTGCAACTTAAATGATGAAATACCACGAGCTGTAAAAGTGACTGGTGTTTATTTTAGACGTAGAAGCAAACCATGTTTAAGAGGTATGTTAATGTATCAAAACTTTATAATTAGTACATACAATGTTTTAAATGTTTATGTTTGTGATAAATTATGTCAACTGAAATTATTATGTTATACTGCTTATGAATTAAAATAAACCATTTGTAATATTATTTATTTAATATATTTAAGGCTATGCTGACGAAAGTGTTATATCTGATGACGAAGGTCTTGAGCCCATTGTAGAACGAATGAAAAAACTAAGTGAGCCAGCTACAGAACAAGAACGTATACAGCGATATGAACTAGTTCAGAGCCAATTGTGTGATAGTGATACTTCTGCTGATAATGGTTTGGATCCAGATGTAAAGCCTTTTATTGAAGATTCTGGATATTCTTACTTAGATTGCTCACGTCGACAATTTGCTCAACAATCTTCATTTATTTTGCAGGTAATTATAATAGTGTACAATTAAAATTGATATATTACAATGATAAATTAAACCAAAATTTATATAAAAAATACATTAAATGTGTACCAAACATTTTAGATTCCGAGCGGAGTGATGAATGTATTGATTTTGTTCGACGTTTTAACATCAATGTTGTGTTTTTTTTTTTTTGTCAGCAATGTTTTGGTTAGTAAAAATACTCCAATTTTTTGATAGAAAGAGAATCTAATTGGTACTTTTGGGAGGTCAAAATTGAAAATTAGTAGTTTTAGAAAACGTCAAGAAAACCAAATAAAAAGTAATTTTTTTGGTGTAACTATAAGACTAATAACCTTAGGCCCTTGAAGTTTTCACCCAATATTTATATTAGGATTTTCCATATATGGTAACATTTCAGAAATATTTCGACTTTTTTTGTGCTAGTTTTTGGAGCCTTTAGAATTTTTTGAACTTTGTAAGTTGTTTTTAAAATTCTTCTCTATAAAACTTTTTTATTTAGTAAAAAAGCTTGAAAATTGAATTTTGAAAATGTTGAAACCATTTTTCAGTTAAAATGTCATAAATATTTTTCCTTTAATAGGTAACAATAGACATTTTGATAGAAGACTCCACAAATTGTCCTACCTTAAACAAAAAAAAAAATTGACCGGAAAGTAAAATCAATTTTTTTTAAGCTGTTAATTTTGTTATTTAATAACAAATAATCCTAGATACTTATAATTTTCACAAAAAGTTAAATTTACCATTTTCAATACATTGGGGCAGTAAAAATTCTTAGATGATGTTCTTCAACAGTATCTTGTTTGATGGGAAAGTGAATCTAGTTTGTTGGTAGTATTTATTATTAAATTTACATTTTTAGTTAGGTAACACTGTCCCTTTAAATTAATTCCCAAAATATATTTTAATTTAATTAAATTGTAAGTTAAACTAATAATATTGTACTCTAAAATAATATTTAGGTATTATTTTTTTTGATATTTGTTAAATTCATGTATTGAATTTAACAATAGGTATACAATTAGTATTTAATGATAATAATTCTTATTATTGTTCCTATTTTCAGGAATTTTCTTGGGATCATCATGGTTATTCGTTAATTAACCGTTTATTTAATGACATTGGATTATTATTGGATAAAAAGTTCAAGACTGCTTACAACATGACATACTATACAATGGGTGGTCGCCCTCACATTGATACTTCACGATTCCGTAGAGCAATTTGGAATTATATTTATTGTATTTACGGAATGAGAAATGATGATTATGATTATGAAGATGTTACACAGTTGCTTCAAAGTCAATTGAGAGTATTTGTCAAGACTGCTACTTGTTACCCAGAACGTTTGAACAAAACAACCACCGAAAATGCACTGAAACATTTTGATTTAAGTGAAAAGGTAACATGAAGCAAACAATCATTATACAGTCGTAACCCGATAATTCTAACGTCAATTATTTGAAAAACTCCATAAATTGAACTAAACGCTTGATCCTAGGAGAAAACCTCTATAATTAGAATAAAATACATGTATTTTGGTCCCTTCAATAATTTGTAATGTCTGTCTGTGGTTTCTTGACTTTAATCGTATAATTTTACCAAAATAAACCTCTGCAATTGTGCAATAGGTAAAAAGTTGTTGAAATTGTACAAAACATAGTCAGTCTGAATATGGGTTCCGTAAATTACAAGTATTTGTAGCTCGCTGATAAAAAAAAAAGAGTGATTATGGCAGCTGAAAAAATAATTTTACGGCATATGACTAATTTATTTTAATAACATATTGTATTATTATAAAATGTAGAGATAAATGTAGGATAAATAAATTAATAAATAATAAATACAATGTATGCATGTAATAAAATTTTCTTTACCAAACACTCAGTAAATCGAAAACCTTTATAAATCAAATTTTTAGTCCGGTCCCCTGACTTTCGAATTATCGAGTGACGACTGTAGTTTATATTTTAAGTATAACAACAATAATTTTAATTATATACTTATTTGAATCTTGAGTTTGCGTACAGAATAAACTAATGAAACACCTTTAAATTTCCTAGAGGGAGGCCCTAAAGGGTTAGATGACACAATACTTCTAATCTATTTAAGCTATGTACCAACTCGTAAATGTTTATGCACTATTAGTCCTAAAACCTTTGTGTGCTGGTCCCACCATAATTTTTCCGGAAATGTTAGCTCTTACCAGCATTTATTGACTCTTTAATGTCTGCTCTCCTCTTCCTCTTGTTTCTATGACCATAATCAAATGGTCTCTGCTCAGTCTTTTTTATACTATGCAATGATTTGTCATTAAAAAACATTTATGTTACTACAGTGCCAATGATGCGGTACACTTAATACTTTATTGCTAAGCGACTTCCCTCGTTTTTTTTATTTATAAAATGTATTTAAAGAAATGTTCAACTTGTAATGTATACTGACTAGTATTTTGTTACAATTATTGTTTCAGATTCACATAAATTTAATGATTATGGAAGCACGAATGCAGGCTGAACTTTTATTTGCATTGCGCGCGGTCATGAATTACATGTTATGATATGCAGTAACCATTTATATATATTTTTTATAACATGTTATACAAATTTTTTTTGTTATAATTTTTCAGATGTATACAATTTTGGTTATACGATTTATACTTGAAGAGAAACCATGTTCTCATATTTTTCTTTGCTTAACTTTTGTATTACCTTAATTTAATCTATTTATTTCAACTCACAATATTTGCAGGAATTTTCTATATGATCATTGTTTTTACAAATTTGTATTTTATATTAACTGAATATTTTATAGTTATATTTTAATGTGATACTTTAATTTTATACCGATATTATACCATTTACAAAAAATATATATTAACTAGTATTGGATATTGACTAATTCATATTTTTATACATAATATACTTAACAATTTTTACAGTTATAATTATTGAATACAACATTGTTTTACAATTTATGTTTTGTTTACATGTATGTTTGTATATTTTAATTTTATTCTTAAATATTTTTTTTTTTTTGAAATTAGTACAAATTTTAGAAACGTTAATCAAACTAATAATTGTTATCTACCTACAATTTATACATTTATTAAAGTCAAGAACAAAAATAAAGTTTAAATATTTGATTTGTTTCATCGTTATTGGTAATCAATTAATAATATATTTATTTTTTGATGTGTTTATTAAAAATAAAATAACGACAACCTTAAAATTGTTTATTTATTACTCATCCAAACAATGCATTAATCCTCGATTAATCTTTTTTAAATGAATAATAGCAACTATTACATCTGTATATCTTGACAAAATTACAGAAAAAAATCTGGGAGAAGAGGACACACTATGTAATCATTGCAACTGCGATTGTATTAATTTTATGATCAAATTCAAAAGTTATAGGCACCGCTTACATTTTAATATATCTGGTATACCTATTATTATTTAATTAGGTTACAATGTAAAAATTCTAAATTAAATTATATTATACTCAATTGTACATCATATGAAAATAATCTTTAATACAATTTACAAATAAATATAGGTAATAGAAAATTATAATACAATTTTTAAATTTAATAACAATTTATAACTTCTTAACTTAATGATATTGTACTTTCAGCGGAAGATGTCTAGTATTGTACTCCAAAGGAATTCACAAACTACCATTGACACATTAAATGGATTAAACTGTTAAAATGTCGTAACCGTGATCGGTAATAAGTATTGTATGTTCAAATTGAGCTCCTCTAGAATCATCGGCCGTTACTATAGTCCACCCGTCTTCTAAAATCTCTACATCGCTACCACCTTGGCTAATAACCGGCTCAACTGTAAACACCATACCTGGTTTCATTATTCCTGGATAACTGTGTAAAGTAGAATGGAAAATCACGGGAGGCCCATGGAAATATGTACCAATGCCGTGGCCAGTAATGCTCGACACAACATTATGACCGTGTTGACGAGCATATAATTCTATGGCTCTTCCAATGTCTGAAAAGCCTTTGCCCGGGCCACAAGCTTCTATGCCTTTGTACATGCTTTGTTCGGCCACGCTCATCAGTTTCTTACCGTAGTCGTCCACTTCGCCCACACAATAGGTTGCGGCACAGTCACCGTGAAAACCGTTCAGATAGACTGAGACGTCTACAGATATGAGATCACCATTAAGCAGTGGCCGATCGTCGGGCACTCCATGGCACACGACATTGTTTATCGACGTGCAGACAGACTTCTTGAACCCGTTGTAGTTCAAAGGCGACGGATATGCGTTGTTGTCGATGACCAGATCGTGTACGAAACGGTCGACATCGTCGGTGGTAGCGCCGACTTTTAACTGTGCCTTGGCACTATCCAGTACGAACTTGGCGAACTTGCAGCTCTGCCGGAGCATCTCGATCTGACCTTTGTTTTGGATTTCTGGTGGACAATTTTGGTCGGGTTCATCGACGACCACGCCGGTCTTCGCGTACGATGGTAACGTGACGTACTCCGGCACCGTCCTGGGATCGCTGACGGTTCCTAGATGGTCTACTACGTCGTAGACTCCGAAATTGGTCTGGAATTTCGTCCATAAAGATTTCGACAGCCTCTGAGGTGTTGTTTTGTTGACGAACCACCGCCCACAGACGGCCAAGGGTTTACAGATATTCATGGTGGCCACAGAAACGCTTGAACGCCGACAGTGGGACTTTGACAATCAAACAGTTTACAGTTGTACGGGTCGCAATTACTAACGAACCACACGTAACAGTGGTAAAAGTGGAGTAAAACACATTTAAAAAATACCCAACGACGTTCGAAGCTGGTGTCCATTATTATTTATTATTTCCAATATAATCCTATGACGATAAGTGATAACAGCGAGAGATTGGTGATAACGAAGCCGGTACCCGAATATAGTCCATAAAGTAATAGGTATTCAAATTTCAAATATATTTTTAAATATTAATGTCTTAACTGATTTAAAAATTAAAATATTTACAATTTATTTTGTACTGTCGTAACATAATCGTATTATTTCATTTCCGTAGTCATTAGGTCTAATTGATTTACAATCGTTTGGAATGCAGTTAATATTTAAGGTTGTATCCAAAAACCGCATACCTACTTTTGATTTCGACCCCAAAAAGGTCGATACACAAAATCCGCACACTTATCGGTCATGGTTTAACTAAACTTATAGTGGGTTAAAATCGAACCCTATTTTGTGTGCTAAATAACCGATAAGGTAATAAGATAATAAAATTACTAGACAATAATCATGCTAACACGTCTTAATTATTTAGTTACGTATTTAGCCCCTCGTTATTTTATAGTCGGTCTTGTTTTCCTAAATATTGGTTAGACTTAGAGCTTAAGTCACACAATGGAGTGTAAAATAGTTTTTTTGTCACACCTGCACCGAAAGTTTGGTTTTCGATAGCGGTAGAAGCGTTCGAAAGCGTCCTTTTTCCGTCCAGCCGGAGTTAAAGTTTAAATCCCAAAAAGTGCCGGGCACACATATCGTTATAGGCGTGACAAAAAATAGTATGTGTGGCTCGTGCGGGAAAGGCCATTTCAGTCTTGTGCGAAGTGCGGCCCTCGCCTACGGGTCGTGCAGCACACGTCGCCCGCGACTGAAATGGCTCACTTGCCGCGGACTAGTAACAGCTGCATTGTCGTCAGTACATTCCCAGTTTTAGTTTAACTTACTAACTTACAATACTCTCTGGCAGAATATTATATTCTGGCGACAAACTTTAAACATAACTTAAATTCTATTGTTTTTATTGTGTAATAAACAACTATCATATTTAACATATTGTGTTCGATATTTATTTAGAAAACTTTAAAACCTCTTTACAACACCACATACAATTTGGTGTCAGGTGTGGGGTCATACTTCATCAAAGGAAAGATTTTGAGTCATTATTCAGAAAAGTACTTTGAGACCCGCCGACGAAACCACGTTCACGACGTCAAGGAGGAGGAGTTCTGCAAGCAAGAGGGCGGGCAGACAAGTCCAGGAAGGACAGACAGGTTAAAGTAATGAACGAAAACGACTTGATTAGGGCGATACGGGAAATATGTAGAATTTTTACACAAAAAGAAGAATTATTAGTTCCCGTACTCATGCAAATGAGAGATAGCATAAATGCTAAAAACAGTAATCTCAACGTTAGGTGCATTACGCTGTACTAAGGAAAAAACGAGGAATCAACTATAGTTTTCTGGAACGGGACTGCGGGAGCACAGCAGTGGCGGATACGAGGGTTGGAGGCGAAAGGGCGTTCGCCCCTTCCCTTGGGCTGTCTTTTTAACGTTATTTTCTATTATAATATTTGATTAAACAAAAAGACAATTTAATTTTGGAAAATTCGCCCCACCCCTGGGTGACTTCTGAATCCGCTACTGGAGCACAGATAAAGAAATAATGGAGCGTCGTCTCGATTTGGAAAAGTACGTCATGTTGGAAGTAACAAGTTACGATATGTTTAATAATAAAATATTTTACCTACACGGGCTACAACTAAAAAACATGAGAACAAAACAAACCATTATTTCCGAAGAGATAGGCTAAGCTGATAAAAACGGATGGTTGTTGATTGTTGAAACACTTGAAACTAACGGAAACGCACCCGCTGGTATGCACCAAAGATCACCCAATACATACGCGCATGACCCTTGTACGGACGTATTACTAACATCTAACAACTATCAACTGCTGTTGGCTGTATGTAAACTGCGGCAAAAAAAAATTTTACATTATACAAACTGTGACAAAACTGATAAGATACATTATACATTATACAAACTGCGGCAATTTGTTTTATATACCTTCTATATACCTATACTATATTATAGTACCTAAATCATATATACGTATTACGTATATCATTTAATTAATTATGTGATGTTGCGTCTTGAGCAGATATTGGTAAGGTAAATCCAAATGTATTTTTAAGTTTTAACGAAGCATATCGGTAATATCGGTTCCTTCACTTTTGATAATACTAGTTAGTATCTACTTACAAGTGCTAAATGTTAGTAGAGTTAAAAGTTTAATATTTATTCAACGTGATGGAATTTACAACAATGTTTAGCCAGAATGGCAAACAATTAACAGTGTTAAACAATTTTAAATTCAAATTTAAATATGAATCAAAAATAAGTGGTTATAAAACGTGGGAATGCACTAATAAATCATGCAAGGTCAAATTGGTGTTCAACAAGGAAAAAACTCTAATACAAGAAAAATCAGTTTTGGATCATACTCATGAAGCAGATTCTACAATTGAACGTCAAGCAGTAAGTAATAGTATCAAACGAAAAATATCTGAAAGCAATATAAACGAAATGCCATCTAAAATAATAAGAAAAGAACTTCGTAGTTTAGAAAACGATACACAATTACTGACTAATGATTTTTTATATATTCGTAGAAATTTATATAATAAAAAAACCAAATATCACCCACCACTTCCCAAGAATATTAATGAAGTACATGAAGTTCTAATAAATATGAATATTACGACTAACAAAAACGAAAACTTATTGCTAATAAATGACAAGGAAACAAATATAATTATATTTACATGTCTCACAAATTTAAAATACTTATGTTCTATGGAAAAAGTTTTTATGGACGGAACATTCTAGTTCTGCACTAAATTTTTTTACCAGTTTTTTGTACCTACTGCATGGTTTTCAAAATGGTATATATACGTCTCTGGTATATGCATTGCTTCCCAATAAACGTACATCGACTTATGAACATGTATTTAAAAAGTTACGTGATGCATGTTTGACGGAAGGATTTGTACTTAACCCAAATATGTTTGTAATTGATTTTAAAATTGGAATACACGAAACAGTCCGCAGTATATGGCCAACCAGTATTATTCGTGGTTGTATCATCTCGGCCAAGCGTGGTTTAGAAAATTACAAAATTTGGGTCTATCTAAACTTTATATTGAAGGAGACACAGATGAAGGAAAATTTTTAAATTATATTTTTGGTCTTCCGTTCCTTGAACCTCATGAAGTCGAAGATTTGTTTGTTTTTGATTTAATTGCAGATATGCCATCTAATAATCAAATAGTACAATTTTGCGATTATTTAACAGAAACTTATATGCAAGACATATTCCCTCCTTCTTTGTGGGCTTCGAAATCAGAAGTTATAACTTATAACAAATAATGTATGTGAATCTTTCCATTCAAAATTTAACGCATATTTTTATCACCATCATCCATCACTATATAAATTTATAGATGCTCTACAAGATATTCAAGTTGTCACATATATAAAAATTAAAAGTGCAGAAGAAGGGGTAATACAAAAAAGAAATAAAGCGACAACCCAAAAATACAAATTTATTAACGAACAGAGGCAAATGAAAGAAGATGGACGAATTTCAAGATATGAATTTTTGAAAAAAGTATGTTTTAAGAATAAACGACAAAATGTTAACTAGGTACCTACCTATTGTATTATTATTTTATTTAAAAAAAATGTTTTTTTGATTTTACGATCACTATACGATCTTAATAATTTTTAGTAATAATAATTGGTTTTTGATTATACGTACATTACGATCTCTTAAAATAATTTTTAATAATAATAATATTTTTCCTTTATTTTTCGCCTAAAGGTCGCTCCCGCTCCACACTATGCATTTTTCGCGTTTCGCGTTTCATAGTGTTTCGTAGTGTTTCGTAGAAAGGTATACACACTATGCATGTTTCGCGTTTCGCGTTTCGTGATTCACGTTTCGTAGTGATAATAATTATGAACTTCCTGTTTACATGAGAAACGCAAAACTACATGAAAAACAACAAAATACAACGAAACGACACGAAACAGTACGAAAAATATTTTCGTGTCCTTTGATTTCGTCAATTTTACCGCCTCGTTCGCGAAACACTACGAAACCGTTTTCACGAAAAAAAATTTCGTGAAAAAGCTATACACACTATTCACGAAATTCTACAAAAACGTGAAAACATGAAACGCGAAACGCGAAACATGCATAGTGTGGAGCGACCTTTATAGGTAATGTTCATGTTACAAGATAGGGTACAAACTACAAACGTTATCGATCATGAAGTTAAGCCACGATAAAATACGCATTATAGCTGTCATAATACGTATTATACCTAATTAAACGATAAACGTATAATATATAGGTTATCGTATATTCGTATCGATATGTATAAAGGTAGTACATATAGAAGGTATATAAAACAAATTGCCGCAGTTTGTATAATGTATCTTATCGGTTTTGTCACAGTTTGTATAATGTAAAAATTTTTTTTGCCGCAGTTTACCACCTCCCATGCTGTTGTATAAGATATATTACGTAGATTATGCGCTAGGAAGCGAATCAATATAGTCGATACTCGATTATATTTAGGTAATCAATAATAATAACCATTTAAATTATTAGGTATTCTACATATTGGAAATATATAAAATGCGTATTGGAACATAGGAGCCGGTGTTATACTGGAGAAATATATAAAATTAAGTAGGTATTTAAATTGTATAAAATGTTTTTATTGAAAAAATACGTACCTATGTAAAATAATTTTTGTAGTCATAAAAGAAAAATAATAACATAGATAATAATTCAATTACGAAGTTTTTATGTCAATAAAACATGAATCCTATAATCAATACATTTTTCAGAATACCTAGGTACTGTAGGTAGGTACGTTTTAATGGGTGTACCTATGTTCCATTAGCGGCGTCACAAGATATGCCGACGAAAAAATAGCTACTTAAACAGGACTTTCCTTTGAGAACTAAGGTCCTATGAAAATAATGACAACACAATTGAGCTTGGTAGCTTCTTATGATATAGGTATCATATTTTTACCAAAGAAAAAATGTAATAGACGGTTATTTAGACGCAACTAATAAGTTGTGTATTTATTTCAGGCACGTACACAAAAAAAAAAATTAGGGGAGGGGTCATAATCTATATATATAAAGTGCACAACTATTAATTTTAGGGGGGAGTGAACCCCCAAAACCCCCTTTGTATACACTAATGATTTATTTAAAAGAACGGAACATCACCCAAACCAATTTGCGAAAATATCTATTCGTTAACAAAAGTGGTCGCGTATATCGCAGATGAGAAAAAAATATAATTTACGAATCTATAGGTCGTCCACATGTTACAAAAAGGGGTTCCCGTTGAAAGCGATACCTAAACCTAACCAAAGCAGCCCAAATTCTGTTTGGATTGTGCGATCATTTCTGTCTTAAACAACAACGCAAATAGGTATTAAAAAATGCGCGGATACAAATACCTCAGAAATAAACGACGTAGAGAAACAGTTACGGGTTATCAAACTCGAGGGAGATGGGGGGAAAAGGATCATCCCTTGTAATCGATTTAGGCGATGCTACCCAGCAGTTGAAAAGTATGGCGACCGTACTCAATATAAAAAGCTACCTAGCGTATCATTTTTTCCAAACGAATCTCCTATTAGAATTATATTTATCCGAGACTACTATATTGTTCGACACTTCGACGTCATTATACAAACGGCTAGGATAGGATTAATCCATCCCAGTTTAAGGGGCCTCACTACCATGTCTCTTATTTGTCAAAAACTACTGTTTCTAATTCCAACGATACGTGTCGACAATTAACATGATTTTCATTCTGAAAAAATATTCTGATTGTCCGTAATATATACAAGAGAACGATAGATGAGCCACATTTTTAATTTTTGTAATTTAAATTGCAATAACAATTGTAAAAATTTAAAAAAAAAAAAAACAGAATTTCCAACTTAAATATTTAATGAACTAAATACAATTTTAAAAAAGGTGGGCAAGTGGGTGTCGCTCTGCTGTACAGTAGGTTACAAGTGGGTCACTGTATAATGGATGGTATTAAATTTGAATTCAATGATATAATATCATTGTATAAGAAAAACGATTCTGAACGGAGACGCAGGGGCGGAACTAGGGGGGTGAAGCCGGGGATTGATCCCCTGGCGTAAAATTTTAGTGGGCGTAATTTTTCTTTAGTTCTTTATTTAATGCTTGGTGATTGAAGTTAAGAAAACATTTTTATTTCACATTATTTGTTTATGATGTTGTAGTGATGACGTTGGAATTAATGAAAAAAAAAAATAAAGTTAATAGTAAGATTATGAATAGATTCGTATTAGTATACTAAGTATATACTGGTATACTGGCATTAGCATTTACAACTAATATACTATAATTATTAAGATTCTGAGTGAAAATGTAACTAGTAACTATACCTAGGCATTTATTGATGCTGTGTTTTCGTTAAAATTTCTGATACCTACACAATAACTGTTATAAGATTATCAATCAACGTACGATACGTATATTATATCTGTATATTAAAAATTATGTTAATATATTATAGTTTATAATATTATATATTATAATATTTACCAAGATAGTTATACATTTGTTTATGTTTAAAAAAAAAGATTTGATTTTAAATATTTACTTTTTCATTTTTTCTATTATAAATTGTTTAATTAAATACAATTTTTTACTGGCCTAAATTGTGTACCCTAATCAGAATAAAAGATTTTATATTTTACCATAAAAATCTATTATAATTGAAGGCTGAGACAAATAGAACCAAAACAGCAAAAGTGTTTACAATTTTTATACAGGATAGGTAGGTAATTAAAGTTTTGATTATTTTTCAACATTTATATATAACTAATATTATTATTATTTCTAATAATAAATACAATTAAGTAACCAATACAGTATTTCCAGTAATTAAAAATGTATCAACAATATGTTGACTAAGTTTTTAAATTTTAAGTGTTTTTGCCGTTTTTGGTATGATAGTTTATTAGTATAAACTTAGTTACACCACAGTCCACAGAATATATTAATTATTATATATTATTATGTGTTTAAAAGTTAATAAGTATGTTTGTAATTTTAGTTCCAGTTATGATAAAACAATTGTAGGGAATGATATTGTATTTTCAATCTTGGTCTATGATTGGGCTTAATTTTAATATTTTCCCTGGGCGTAAAAATTCTTAGTTCCGCCTCTGCGGAGACGGTATGTCCTTCTAGGTATAAGACATATTATATACATATCTATGGTATTGAAAAAAATTGACCTATAATGAATTCCAAATTAATCATATCACAATATCCATTAGGTACTTATAACGCGTTATACACCAACAACAAACCCTGATACTATCATAGATATATACAGCGTGATTCTTTTATCAAACAACACTCATTATTTCAAAAAGTGTAAATTTTTTTGAAAATATTTTTTTACATAGTTTCAAGTCGCTTATAAAACAACGTTTTTATTAAAAAATTATATTTTTAAATATTTTTTATCCTTATGATTTTTTAAGTTTTTTACTTTTTTGAATAACAACATAGGGTTTTAATTTTATATTCCAAAGCAGAATATTTTTCTTAGTATTTTGATACATGAAAATCGAATTTGGGTTGAGTAGTTTATGAGTTATAAGTAATTAAAGTTTAGACGAGCGGTGAAGTGGACAAACTATTCGCGGGGTAACCCCGAACCACTCCACTCCGCTAGTCTAAACTTTAAATACTTATAACTCATAAACTACTCAACCCAAATTCGATTTTCATGTATCAAAATA